AATTAGTCCACATCGGGCATACAATACTTTGTGCCATAATGTAAATTACGTTTTTGACTGGCCTCTAACACAAGTTGTTGTGAGCTTTCAGAAAGTTTTTTTTTAAGAATTTAACTACTATCGAGCAATTTTAAGTTTGTCAAACCTAGGTAACCCAAAAGGAACAGTGACTTATAGAAACAATCATAGGTACTCAATAAATAAATAGGATTACAGTACTAATTTTTAATTTTATTTAAAGAAGTCTCAAGTTTAAGTCTTTTTGCTCTTGCTCTTATTCATTAATTAAATCAAATTGCTGTTCTAAGCCTAATTAGTAGAAAAGGGGAAACTTTGACATAAGTAATAAATCCTATGCCTAAAAATCCCTAATCTATAAATAATTTTCAATTTGCCTGTCAATTTTGCAAAATTTGCCAAAAATCTACATGGAGCCCTATGAGGTGCTTTTAAGTGCAAAATCGCAGGACAGTGCAATGACATTAATAATTTTAACAATCCATTGCATACAAAGTACAAGAGCGTACTGAGTGTGGGAACGCTCTGATACTTAGATGGCAGTTGTTACTTTATGGACCGCTTTCCCCTCCTAAATAATTATTTATTTGTATTTCTCTACAGAATATGAGAGTCTTGAAAAGTTTGCCATTAAATAATAGTAAAACATTACTCATGTTTTATTTGTACCATTTCCTGCTTTTGTGGAGCTAAGCATACATTTCCTATGAAATAAAAATTAGGTGAATGGTGTGTGGTTAAGAAGAGGGATTATCACTAGGTAGGTAGATTACAGTTCAAGCAGGAAACCTAAATGAAATCACACACTGAAGCAGTTAACACCTTTTAATTTTCACTAGTTGTATACAAATTTACAAACATACTTAAATTAATAAATCAGTTTGATTATGTGAGATATGTAATTAATATTGTAGATTTATCCTAGCCTAATTCAATATTTTACTTTGACTCAATACATTAATCTTTCTTCAATCTTATTTTCAATAAAAAATATATTAAAATACATTTGATAAATCTACACTAGATAACATTTTTTTTGTTGAGATGAAATATTTTTAAGAACTGCTGAAGTAACCAGTCTAGGTACTACAAGAGTGGACAATTTAAGTAGGCCTACCCTTTTTTTGAAACTCATTTTCTTTTAAACTATGAACTAATAATAACATAACATAATAATAGTAACATTTTATTACGCAAAAAGAAAAAACTTCATTGAAAGTACCAATTCCAAAGTTACCTACATTACGAATACAACTGAAAACACACAAACAAGATATTCCGATTAGACCAATTGTAAATTTCCGTCAAGCACCTACATACAATCTATGAAAGTGTTTACATAACAAAATAAAACAGAATATAAATATGAATAATGATATAAATGTAGCCAATACACACGAATTTGACAAAATCAAAGATATATACTATAGTTTGGCCGTTTAGAAAACAACCTGTGCGCTAATGCTAACCAATGCTACAGGAGGTCGCTTTCTAAGCGGCCGAACTATACTAAGCAATCAAGAATGTGGTCTCATGCAAATAAAAAAAAAATTCTCTCAGTGGGATCTACCCATAGTGTGTACGAATGTATGTCTCTTCATATTGCTACTGGTTTGGAAGGATTTTCCACATATAGTACACTTATGAGGTCGCTCTCCGGTGTGTAGTAATGTATGAATCTTCATACTGCTCCTGGTTTGGAAGAATTTTCCACATATAGTACACTTATAAGGTCGCTCTCCAGTGTGTACTAGTGTGTGTTTCTTTAGATTGCCACTGGTTTGGAATAACATTCCGCATGTAGTACACTTATGAGGTCGCTCTCCGGTGTGTAGTACTGTATGAATCTTCATACTGCTCCTGGTTTGGAAGGATTTTCCACATATAGTACACTTATAAGGTCGCTCTCCAGTGTGTACTAGTGTGTGTTTCTTTAGATTGCCACTGGTTTGGAATAACATTCCGCATGTAGTACACTTATGAGGTCGCTCTCCAGTGTGTAGTACTGTATGAATCTTCATACTGCTCCTGGTTTGGAAGGATTTTCCACATATAGTACACTTATAAGGTCGCTCTCCAGTGTGTACTAGTGTGTGTTTCTTTAGATTGCCACTGGTTTGGAATAACATTCCGCATGTAGTACACTTATGAGGTCGCTCTCCGGTGTGTAGTACTGTATGAATCTTCATACTGTTCCCGGTTTGGAAGGATTTCCCACATGTAGTACACTTATAAAGTTTCTCCCCGGAGTGTACTAATGTGTGTCTCTTCATAATGCCACTGGTTTGGAAGGATTTTCCATATATAGTACCGTAGAATGGGGTGAATAGAAACAAAACTTCAATGAATGATTCAAATTTTTATAACTTTGTTATACATTGACTTTATATAAGGGAATTATTTCCCCCCATTATAACCATATGTAACGAGCCTTTTTCCTAGGGGGGGTATATTTTCGCTATTTGGCCGCGTACCGATTGTTGAGGTAAGCAAGCGGCGGCGGGGAACCTGGCTAGCGCCCTTTGACCCGGCTTATCAGTTCGGATAAGCTTGGGTATCCTAGGACTACCGGATAGCCGAGAAGGACATTCGAGTCGTGGATCCCGGACAGTGAGGATAGTGTGGTGTCTTGTGGAGACGACTGGGATACGTCAGGGGTGTACGTAGAGAGGAGTGTGCGTGACAGTGGTGTCGGAGTATGTTGGTGGTGTGATCGCGCCGAGTGTTGGTTTAAGTTGGGTACCGACCCACTATTGGTGAGTGGACGACGTTCCTTACATTTTGGTTTAAGAGTTGATAATATTATTATCTGATTTTATTGCAAGAGTTAGAGTTGTAACCGTGCTGGTCAAAGCCTGACGGTAGTTAGGATTTATGTTAGTCAGGAATAATATTAAAGTGTATTCCTGACGGTTCTGGGCAGGTGCTAGAGCGCAAATAATATAATTTATTGACTGTAGTAGTTATTATTTTGTGCTGTACCAAGAGTTAGTTATATTACTAATAACTCTGAGGCCCGACAAACCTAAGCTGCACGATTTAGCGTGCGTAGTTGGAAGCACGAGGCTAGTAGGCTAGTAGCTAATTTTATTAGCCTATTAACAGAAGCCCAGCTAAGCAATATAACGTTGATATAGTAGCAGTAGTGGTAGTAGCAGTAGGGTTGGTATTGATTAATCATTTAAGTATTTTAATTTATCCGGAACAGCTTGTTTGGTAGTCCAACACGTTATCTTGGTAGCTTGGATAGCGGAGTACCGGCTATCAGATAATATATTTATCTAGTGTTTGGAACGTATTTAATATTTATTATCTGCTACTAAGTAGCTCAATAATTTGATAGTAGTGCAATTGCCATTTAGTTTTGCTTGTTTGGCTTGGTATTTATTGAGACCAGCTACTAGTGGTGTAGTCACCCTACCTATAGTGTACTTGTATATTATTATATGGTATTATTATTGAGTGAACTGTTTTGGTGGTTAGCTTGGGCATGAGCATTTTGTATTGGATTATAGTGGCCTAGTAGACCCCGCCTGGTGATAACTCGCGTTGTGGTTTTTATTAGCCAGTCGTCGTGTAACTTACTGTGTTTTAGGCACTCTGGGCTTAACTATTGGATAGTTAGGACGAAGCCCGAGTTGCGTAGTCAGCAACGACCCCCTAGGAGTGTGGAGAATCGGCGTAGGCCTGGTGGTGATTATTGCACGTTTGTTGTGGTGACTTGCTTTTGACTTGTTCACAGTGCCCGTGTATGAGCCAGTCCTATACCGGTTAGACCCGGCTATTGGCCTAGTGGTTTCCCTGACCTTTTATCGCAGACCCTGGAACTTTACCCAGCCATTGTAGGCTGAGCTATCCCCGGCAAACGGTTGCGACTGCACGCACTTTTAATAATTATTTTTCCAGTGCGGAAAGTAGCGTCGCACATATCCTATCTACCTGGGAAAAATTATTTCAGCATATTGGTATCACTGCTTTGGATGTTGGATCATGCGAAACATCATTTGAAAATTTTGGCGAAAAACATTCTTTTCAAAACTATCTCTCTAAGTATGAACCTATTACATGTATTTATGTTAATAGCCATTTTTTATATTGTCTTAGGGATCTTAAAACCAATTGTGACAATAGATTAGCCTTAGAATAAACTATATTTTTTTACTTTATTTTTAATTTAGGTTATGTCATGATTTTGCAAAACCAGGGTAAATAGAAACACTTTTTTTTGGAACCAGTGGTGCAAATAATTAATAAAGGTTGACCAAAAAACCCCCCAAAAAAGAAAAAAAATACCAGAGATGAAGATGATTCCACATCAGTCACACTTCTCACTGGAAGAAAGTGACAAAGACGAACAATTTGATGAAGAAGAACCAGCATACCTAGCTCAAGACATCAGCAAGTCTTCAAAGTTGTCCCTTCATGATCAATTGTCAAAGTAATGGGGAAAAACAAAACTTGCTATCGTTTATATGTTGCTAAAGTTATTGAATTTAACAAGGAAGGAGAAATAGGAAGATTCATCAAGAAAATTGCGCAAACCAACAAGTTCTGAGAGACAGATTAAGAGGCCCTCTTCAAAGTCGATGACGTAGTACGTCGGCTTCCAACTCCCAAGCCGTGTACAACTTGTAGATTTAAGGGAGTGTTGTATTTTGAGGAAGATTTGTCTGATTTTACTCTTCATTTAGTTGGTTTCTATGTAAGATTTTGTTACTCTGATTTCACCCATTGTCATTTATGTTCTCTGATTTGTTTGGATAAGGGTTTATGAAAACAATGTTTTTATACTTCGTACTTATAAATAAATGTGTTAATTAACTTTAAATATTTTTATTTACAACAACATAAGCTAACAAGCATAAATTTCATGTTTCTATTGCCCCTGGTAAGTGGCGAAAAGCAACAATCATCAATTTAACACAGTGTTTCTATTCACCCCAAAGTGCGGGGTGAATAGAAACAGCCTTATTTTATTTTTTTTCTGCTTAATGATTAAAAAGAAAAAAAATTGATTAGTGATTTGAGTAGAGGAGTCCAAGACCGAAAATATGAGCTAGTGTTGAAAATTTAAAAATTAAAAATATCGTTTTTACAGAAGCTTAAAAGTCAAAAAGTGTTTCTATTCACCCCATTCTACGGTACACTTATGAGGTCGCTCTCCGGTGTGTAGTAATGTATGAATCTTCATACTGCTCCTGGTTTGGAAGGATTTTCCACATATAGTACACTTATAAGGTCGCTCTCCAGTGTGTACTAGTGTAGGCTATGCTTCTTTAGATTGCCACTGGTTTGGAATAACATTCCGCATGTAGTACACTTATGAGGTCGCTCTCCGGTGTGTAGTAATGTATGAATCTTCATACTGCTCCTGGTTTGGAAGGATTTTCCACATATAGTACACTTATAAGGTCGCTCTCCAGTGTGTACTAGTGTAGGCTATGCTTCTTTAGATTGCCACTGGTTTGGAATAACATTCCGCATGTAGTACACTTATGAGGTCGCTCTCCAGTGTGTAGTACTGTATGAATCTTCATACTGTTCCTGGTTTGGAAGGATTTCCCACATGTAGTACACTTATAAAGTTTCTCCCCGGAGTGTACGAATGTATGTCTCTTCATATTGCTCCTGCTTTGGAAGGATTTTCCACATATAGTACACTTATGAGGTCGCTCTCCGGTGTGTACTAGTGTATGTTCCTTCATACTGCCCTTGGTTATAAAGGATTTTCCACATATAGTACACTTATAAGGTCGCTCTCCAGTGTGTACTAGTGTATGTTCCTTCATACTGCCCTTGGTTATGAAGGATTTTCCACATATAGTACACTTATGAGGTCGCTCTCCAGTGTGTACTAGTGTATGTTCCTTCATACTGCCCTTGGTTATGAAGGATTTTCCACATATAGTACACTTATGAGGTCGCTCTCCGGTGTGTACTAATGTATGACTCTTCATATTGCTCCTGCTTTGGAAGGATTTCCCACATATAGTACACTTATAAGGTCGCTCTCCAGTGTGTACTAGTGTATGTTCCTTCATACTGCCCTTGGTTATAAAGAATTTTCCACATATATTACACTTATAAGGTCGCTCTCCAGTGTGTACTAATTTATGTCTCTTCATACTGCCGTTGGTTGTGAAGGATTTCCAACATGTAGTACACTTATGAGGTCGCTCTCCAATGTGTACTAATGAATGTCTCTTCATACTGCTACTGGTTTGGAAAGATTTTCCACATGTAGTACAATTATGAGGTCGCTCTCCAGTGTGTACTAATGTATGTTCCTTCACACTGCTACTGTTTTGGAATGATTTTCCACATATAGTACACTTATGAGGTCGCTCTCCGGTGTGTACTAATGTATGTCTCTTTATAAGGCTTCTGGTTCGGAATGATTTTCCACATGTAGTGCATTTATAAGGATACTTATTAGAATGAGTCAACAAATGATTCATTACTTGAAATTGATAATTAAATGTTTTCCCACATGTCAAACATCTAAAGGGATGCTCACCGGTGTGTAAATATATATGACACTTCATTGTCGATAGAGTTGAAAACAATGTTCCACATATTATACACTTAAGGAGAGGCTTTTTAGTGATCTTAAACATTTTGTTGTTTTCTGATTTCTACTTATTTGATGAGCTAGAACGTAATTAGAATTAGTCAAATTGCTTAGTTTGTCTATTAAAAATATGTCTGTTTTTGTATTTGGTTTATGTTAAACAGTATCAATCAAACTTGGTCAACGTTTGCTCAAATCAACGTTATGTGTATTAAATATCATACAACATAGCTTACTTAACGTATCTTTAATATTTGACAGATTAGTGAATTATCTTTCTTGAGACATGAATTGAAGTTCCTTTTTCTCTTCAAATCTATTGCCCCTTCTGAAAAAGACCAAATTGTATCAATTTTATACATTTGTTGCAATCATTTAGATAGTGTTTTTTTTTTCATTAAGTTAAACAATGATTTTAAGACATTACTAAAATTTATTCATTAACAAAAATGCTCCTAATTATAAGTGAGCAAGTTTGGATGTATGGATGGAGGGATGTTTGTGACAAGTAAATGCGAAAAATATTGGTCAAATTGGGCTGAAATTTGATGTGATGATAGCTCACATTCCCGATTAACATATTAGTACAGGTAAAATAATACAAAAACGCTCCATATAAACAACAAAATTTGTACATTCATGATATTTTACCCGTGAGTTACTAATATTATGAGAAATGAACATCCGATGAGTCCCCATAATTTTGTGCGTCCTAAGGCCCTTTTTGGGGCCCTTTTTTGTTCCAAAGGGCCATTGTTCTTGAATAATTTTGTTTTTACGTTTAAGGTCGAGTGAGGTGTGGTTTTCAATGGTTTTAGTAATTTTAAATCGATTGGGACTAGTTTTAAGTGTATTAAACCCCTCCATACAGGTTGTTTTGAAATATTATTACTTTTTACGATATTTAAACATTTATTCATAAAGTAATAAAATTAGTTACCTCCATGCTCTATATAAAAGGGGATTATTGAAAGTAATTGTAATTCTTTACTATATTAGAGGAAATGATCACAAGGAGTAAGAGAAGATATTAAATACCCCCGTCACAGCAAACCTGCATACTAAGCGAATGTTCATTTGCCGATTTTTAATTAAATCTAAAATAGCATTTAGTTTAATGACTACTTAGGTTTGCTGCTACAAGGAGGCTAATAAAGTGTGTTTATAGTAAAATATTAATAGAGTAGTATAATACCCCCGTCGCAGCAAACCTGCATACTAAGCGAATTTCCATTTACCCGGCTTGATTTCTACTAAAATATTCCTATAAATTTTCAGATTTATTTCCTATTTAAATAACATTAATGTTAGTGAGTAGTTAGGTTTGCTGCTACGGGGAAGATGTTGAGGTGTGTTTTTTTAGTTGAAATTTTCATAGCTTAGTATGAAATAAGCCAAATTGCCAAATTTGATTAAAATATATCCATAAACAAGCAAACTAGAACAGTTTATTTATTCTCCATAAGAATAACTTGGGAATTTTAAATTTACAATTTTTTTAATTTTCTCCGTAGTCAATGAACATTCAAAAAAAAAACTTCACTATACTAAATTATTTGTTTTTTAAAGCTCTTCAAAATGGTCTAGAGAGAAATTTAGAAATTTAAAGTTTTTAGGGTCAATAATGAGAAAAACCCATTTTTACCCCATAAAACCCCCCATAAATCCCTGATCCCATGGTCCGATTATGCTGGTTCGCAAACTCGTTCGAATAAATGTAGGTTTACACGTTTGTACCAAATTTCATCAAAATCGGATCAATTTTGCTCGAGTTATCGCACTAACGGACACATATATAAATAAATATATATATATATGACGGACACATATATAAATATATATATATATGAATTTGAACAGATGGTGTTTTTGGCCTCTGGGGACCTCAAAACGAAAAAGTAAATCGGTCCCGGGTCTAGGTCTTACCATGAGACCATTTGACAAGTTTTATCAAGACATATCTATAAACAAACAAACAAAATCATTTTACACTATTCTCCTTAAGAATAACATGGGAATTTAAAATTTCAAATGTTAGTATTTTTATGCGTAACCAATAACAATACAAAAACATGTTAATATACTAAATTATTTGTTTTTTAAGCTAGGCTATTTAAAATGTTCTGAAGGAAAATTTTGAAACTTTGTGTTTTGAGGGTAAATTAAATGAGAAACCCCAATTTTTACCCCATAAACCTCGTTCCCATTGTTCAGGACAAAAATGCTTGTACCGACAATGATGCTCTGTATGGGTTTATTGATTGATAATGGTATTGATTACTAGCTGCAAACGTCAGTATGTATGAAAGGTGTTTTTACACCACATCACATTGTTTGTGCTTCAAAATTGGTGTTGCCTGTTCTGCAATATGCAAGGTTTCTAAAGGGGAATCCTGCTTGAACACCAACTTGGACAAAATCAGTAAAGATGGACAAGTTGCTAAGAATAATAAAATTGTTAATGAGTCGTCGGAGAATAATTATTGTGATGATAAAATTTTAAAGAGAGATACTATGGATGGTACTATGGAGATACTTTTGTAGAAAAATAGCTTTAGTTTAAGTACTTCATTGTAATATGTAATGTAAGGTTTCATGCAGATACAATTGTTTTAATTTTTAGTAAATGTAAAAAAAATAACTTAAATAACTACCTAAGAAAAGTACATATCAATAATTTGAAATTGGTCCTAATAGATTTGCATAAAAAGTACACTGAAAGATTATTCACACCACCTTAAAAGTTGAAATTTTTGTGTAGTAACCTATGTTGTTATGTTATAGTGTACAATTTAATCAATACAATTTTAGCGAACTTCCCATATAGGAAATAAGCTATTACCGAAGGTCTTATGGTAAAACATAGACCCAAAACCGATTTACGTTTTCATTTCGATGCCCCCAGAAGCCTAAAGTACCATCCACTCAAAATATTGTGTTTATATTCATATATATAATATAATATATCCATGTTATATACGTGTCCGTAAACATGATAACTCGAGTACTGTTGGTTAAATTTTAATGAAACCGGCATAATCGGTCCATGGAACAGGGTTTTATGTGGTAAAAATTTGTAATCTTTGACCCTCAAAACACAAAGTTTCCCAATTTTTCTCTAGAGCATTTTAAAGAGCTTAAATAAAACAAATAATTAAGTATATTAACGTGTTTTGTAAGTGTATTAGTTACGAATAAAATTCAAAAATTGTGAATTTAGAATTCCATGTTATTCTTAAGGAAAATAGTGTAAAATCATTTTGTTTGTTTGTTTATAGACATTGTTAATGACTAATTTCATATATATGTATGACCATTGATTAATCTTTATATTTCTGTTGTATGATTTATTTGTGAAGATTAATTATCACATGTTTTTAATATTGTTAAAATGAGTAAATAAATAGTGATTGAAAATGTTGTACTGAAATTGACTATTCTTTTATCTGACTTTGATCATTGACAATTTAATATTGGTGCCGAAACTAAAAAAAAAAACCATGTCTTACAGAAAAAGTAATAGGGAAGTTAAACCTCCAAAAAGGTATACCCCTGATCAGAATGAAAATCATGATACTGACAAATTATCAAAGAATGTTTCTGAGAATACAACAATGACACTCAAGGAATAGCATTGAGACAAACCAGCATCACTTCTATTAGTTCAAGGAAAACAAAAAGTAAGTCTACAACATCAAGCAACAGGAGACAAATGGAAATAGAACTTGAAAAGTTGGTAGAAATACAAAAACTGGAACGAGAAATTGAAGAAAAGGAGCTGGAAAGACAAAAACTGATGGAGGAGAAGGATATGGAGCGACAACGGCTGGAGAACGAAATGGAGCAACAACGGCTGGAAATGGAGCGACAACGGTTGGAGAAGGAAATGGAACGACAATGGCTGGAGAAGGAAATGGAGCGACAACGGCTGAGAGACAAGAGGGAGCTAGAGCGATGTAAACAAATGCTGGAAATAAGGGCTTCTATGAAATCACTATCGGCAAATGGTAGTCAAGTCTGCGGATCTGAGGTAAGCATAAGTCAAAGCTTAATATCTCAGAGAGAGGAGAGAGAATCTGAGAGTAAAGTCGTAAAGTGGCTGAATGATAATGAACCGACAGTTCATCAGTGTTCATCAACCGCTATGACCACAGCTGCACAATTACTAGCAGATTCAGTCAAAAAAGCTATTCAACCAACCTCTCTTTGCCGCCAACAACTACCAAACTTTAGTGGTAGACCAGATGAGTGGCCTAGGCTATGTTCTTTTCTGCATTTGAAAATACCGTAAAATTGTATTCTGATGATGACAATCTAGCTAGACTTAGAAACTGTCTTGAAGGCAAAGCCTTTAAAATAGTGAAACCTCTTTTTGTTTCCAGTAAAAACTTGCATGCCATAATTATAATTAAAACGTTACAGATGCGTTTCGGTAAGCCTGAGTTTATCATTGAGTCTATGATGAACCAAACTAGAATGCTAGCCCCTGTTTTCGAGTCGAGTTTTCTACAACCATTCTTAACTTTACCTCGACAGCTGAGTCTCTTCATATGGAGTACTACATGACAAACCCCCAACTACTCAGTGAACTGTTAGGAAAATTGCCTTATCAAATGAAGTACCATTGGGCTCAACATGTGAGCAGTATGTGTTTAACTAGACCTAGCCTAAGTGATTTTTCAGATTGGTTAGAGAGACAATGTTCTATCATGAGTATCTATTTTCATCCAAACAAGGAAGTCCCGACTAGAAAGAAAAATTACTTCAAACCTGTGTTGACCAACTCTTCAAAAGCAGCAGTTCCCACAGTTGGCCCACTTACCTGCGTGTTCTGTGGTGGTAAGCACGATAATGACAAATGCTCTATACTTCGGAAAGCTGATATTTCCGAAAGGTGGAAAATGGTAGGTGAGAAAAAGCTATGCTTTTCTTGTTTCAAACGACATCAACTTAAATTTTGTAAATCTAAAAGAGCTTGTAGTGTAAACGGTTGTAAGCTGTGATCACTGACTCTTACATAACCCCAATCTTGAACGACCTCCAATGAAAAGAAATGAGGGACATTTAAAATCTAGAGATGAAGTAATCGGTAATCATTTTGAAGATAACATATCAAACCGTGTTTTGCTTCGTGTTTGTCCTGTCACGTTGTACGGTCCCAAGTCCCAGGTAGATACTTGTGCCCTTTTAGACGACGGCTCGACTGAAAGGGTAAGATTG